ACTAATTCCTTTTAATTCTTCTTCTTTATCTTCTTTACCTCATGTTCCATTTCTTCTTCTTCTTCTTCATTTAGTTACCATATTCCTTCAGGATGTTGGTGATCATGACTCTCCACAATTTCCTGTCCTTTGTAACTTTTAATAAATTTTGTCGTTTTGTTATTTCTCCTAAGTTTTGTTCTGATATTCATTTAGCCAAGCTCGCAAGGCATGTTATGCAGTGTTTTTTTTTTTCTGTCACTCTTTTTTTTTGTTTTCCTCAGTATCATCTTAAGCAAGGCATTACAGACACTGAGACATGAAAGGGGTTACAAGAAGTGCAGGAATTAGGAAGAGAAACATTAGTAATGAGTAGAAAGAGTAATCAGGAGGACAGTGCATAGCGATTGACATTGCATTTAAATATTTGCAAATTAAAATTAGCTGGAAAACATGGAGCCAGAACAAGTGAGAAGTGCAAGAAAAGAAACTGTTAGCATAGAACTTACAGCTACATTCACCTAGCTCAACTGTAAATTGATGAGATCTCACCACCACTCTTGCACTTAAATTCATACAGTCTAGGTACCATAACAAAGAGCTCATCTGAACAATTCCATGAAAGTATTTATAAAAAAGGCACAGAGAGGCAACCTTACAGCAGTGGGCAAGTGACTAAGCAGCCACCAGATCAGGATCAATAATATTGCATTCTTTTTGGAAGCAAGGAGCTCCAGGTAAATAGTCAGTCTATTTAAATTCATACAGTCTAGGTACAAGTGAAGAGATCATCCAAACAATTACCATGAAAGTATTTATAAAAAAGGCAGAGAGAGGCAACCTTACAGCAGTGGGCAAGTGACTAAAGCTGAGCCACCAGATCAGGATCAAATTGCTGATTCTTCTTTGGATTTTAGCAAGAAGCTCCAGGAAAATAGCCAGTCTAGTATTGCAAAATTCATACAGTCTAGGTAGCATAGTGAAGAGCTCATGCAAACAATTACCATTTTTATAAAAAAAGGATTTTGGGCAAGTGACTAAAGGAGCCACCAGATCAGGATCAATAATATTGCTGATTCTTCTTTGGATTTTAGCAAGGGCTCCAGGTCAGTCTAGTATTGCACTTAAATTCATACAGTCTAGGTAGCATAGTGAAGAGCTCATCTGAACAATTACCATGAAAGTATTTATAAAAAAAGGCACAGAGAGGCAACCTTACAGCAGTGGGCAAGTGACTAAAAGCTGAGCCACCAGATCAGGATCAATAATATTGCTGATTTTAGCTTTTCTAGTATTGCACTTTTCATACAGTCTAGGTAGCAAGTGAAGAGATCATCCAAACAATTACCATGAAAGTATTTATAAAAAAGGCAAGAGAGGCAACCTAGTGGGCAAGTGACTAAAGCTGAGCCACCAGATCAGGATCAATTCATTCTTCTTTGGATTTTAGCAGTCTAGGTTGCACTTAAATTCATACAGTCTAGGTATATAGTGAAGAGATCATCCAAACAATTACCATGAAAGTATTTATAAAAAACAGAGAGGCAACCTTACATTGGTGGGCAGTATCAGCCCCAGATCAGGATTAATAATATTGCTGATTCTTCTTGGATTTTAAAGGACCTCCAGGAAAATAGCCAGCCTTGCATTTAAATTCATACAGTCTAGGTAGCATAGTGAAGAGATCATCCAAACAATTACCATGAAAGTATTTATAAAAAAGGCACAGAGAGGCAACCTTACAGCAGTGGGCAAGTCTAAAGCTGAGCCACCAGATCAGGATCAATAATATTGCATTCTTCTTTGGATTTTAGCAAGGTAAATAGTCAGTCTAGATTCTTCTTTCTAGGTAGATTTTCTGAACAATTACCAGGTATTTTATAAAAAAAGGCACAGAGAAGCAACCTCAGCAGTGGGCAATACTAAAGCTGAGCCACCAGATCAGGATCAATAATATTATTGCTGATTCTTCTTGGATTTTAGCAAGGAGCTCCAGGTAAATAGTCAGTCTAGTATTGCACTTAAATTCATACAGTCTAGGTAGCATAGTGAAGAGATCATCCAAACAATTACCATGAAAGTATTTATAAAAAGGCACAGAGAGGCAACCTTACATTGGTGGGCAAGTCCTTAAAAGCTGAGCCACCAGATCAGGATCAATAATATTGTGATTCTTCTTTGGATTTTAGCAAGGAGCTCCAGGTAAATAGTCAGTCTAATTGCAAAATTCATACAGTCTAGGTAGCATAGTGAAGAGATCATCCAAACAATTACCATGAAAGTATTTATAAAAAAGGCACAGAGGCAACCTTACAGCAGTGGGCAAGGACTAAAGTGAGGATCAGGATCAATAATATTGTGATTCTTCTTTGGATTTTAAAAGGAGCTCCAGGTAAATAGTCAGTATTGCCCCATACAGTCTAGGTAGCATAGTGAAGAGATCATCCAAACAATTACCATGAAAGTATTTATAAAAAAGGCACAGAGAGCAACCTTACATTGGTGGGCAAGTTTAAAGCTGAGCCACCAGATCAGGATCAATAATATTGCTGATTCTTCTTTGGATTTTAGCAAGGAGCTCCAGGTAAATAGTCAGTCTAGTATTGCACTTAAATTCATACAGTCTAGGTAGCATAGTGAAGAGATCATCCAAACAATTACCATGAAAGTATTTATAAAAAAAGGCACAGAGAGGCAACCACAGCAGTGAAGTGACTAAAGCCCACCAGACAATTCCAGGTAAATAGTCATTTATTGCACTTAAAAAGGTAGCATAGTGAAAGCTCATCTGAACAATTACCAGGAAAGTTTACAGCAGTGGGCAAGTGACTAAAGCTGAGCCACCAGATCAGGATCAATAATATTGGATTCTTTTTTGGATTTTAGCAAGGAGCTCCAGGTAAATAGTCAGTCTAGTATTGCACTTAAATTCATACAGTCTAGGTAGCATAGTGAAGAGATCATCCAAACAATTACCATGAAAGTATTTATAAAAAAGGCACAGAGAGGCAACCTTACATTGGTGGGCAAGTGACTAAAGCTGAGCCACCAGATCAGGATCAATAATATTGCTGATTCTTCTTTGGATTTTAGCAAGGAGCTCCAGGTAAATAGTCAGTCTAGTATTGCACTTAAATTCATACAGTCTAGGTAGCATAGTGAAGAGATCATCCAAACAATTACTATAAAAAAAGCACAGAGAAGCAATCATGAAGTGACAATCAGCCCCCAGATCAGGGATTAATAATATTGCTGATTCTTCTTTGATTTTTAGCAAGGACCTCAAAAATAGCCAGCCTAATTTAATTCATTAGTCTAGGTAGTCATCCAAACAATTACTATAAAAAAAGCACATAGAAGAATCATTGATCAAAAGCCATTCTGAGTCTTCTTTGTAAATAATTCCAGGTAAATAGCAGGGGCACTGAACCATATATGGCAGCAATATTTGAAGCATTGATGAATGGTAGACTTATAGATATGCAAGATAGATTCAGGGGAGTAAAAATTATCTCACCCAACCCAGTGAACCAACTTTCTTGATCTTGCAATGGATTTAATATAGTCTTTCCACTTTATGTCAGCTAAGAACATTAGCCCAAGAAGGTACAATGAATCACTTTCCTGGAGGTTAGCATCAGCCATGATGATGGAAGGCAGGGAGGGGGTCACTCAGATGATTAATGGAAAGAAGTTGAGTTTTGGAGACATTAAAATTAACAAGCCATCTTTTGCTTCAGTTAATGATGGTCTTGCCTTCAATCTGTCCTGTGAGTATCAGAATTTTCAAGCCCACTATCCTCATTATGTACCCTAGAAACCTGAACTGTCTCTCTCTGATTTTAAGATTTTGTTTCCATTTCATCTAAAACTTCAACATTGCTCACACGTTTGACCCATAGTATCTTCAGCATCCTTTATGTAGAACCATATTTCTAAGGAATTTGTCTAGCTTTCACTGCCATAATGGAAAATTGATATTACATAAGAGTCCATTACTCTATTCTTTGTTTCTAATGAAATTTTCCTGTTTCTTAATACTTTGCTTCATTTTTGGAAGGCATCTTTCTCTATCCTATTGTGCCTTCAGATTTCAGTGTCATATTTTTCATTCTCTGTTACTTCCACAGATTCTCTCTTTCCTCCCACTTTCATTTGACTTTGTCTCCTCCCTTTATTAACAACTATGTCTTTCTCTTTTTTCTTTATCCTTTTTTCAATTACTTCTCATTCTCTCACTCTCCCCACTCTTCTTTCTCTAATAACATATCACTCTCTGCTTTTTATCATTTGCATTTCACTTTCTTCTGTCTTTTTCTTTTTCATTATGTCTGCAAGGTTGAATCTTTATCATTCAATGACTTTCATCTCTCATCATGTCATCTCTTGCTTTGCTTTTTCTTTCATTCTATTAACTTTTCTTTTTCTGGCTCTATTAATATTTTCACTTTCAAACATTTTCTCTCGTTCTTTGCCTTATATGCAATTGTAGATCTTCCTTCTCTTTTCAAACCTCTTTCTCCTGAAATTGGTAGAAATTCAAATTTCTTTTCTTTTCCTCTCTATCACTTTCATTCCACCAACCTTTTTTCTTGTCTTCTTTTTTCTTTTTCCTTTTCTTTCTTATTCTCTCTCCATCCCTCTCCTCTTTCTCTCCGTCCCTCTCCGCTCTCTCTCTGTCCCTCTCCCCTCTCTCTCTGTCTTTCTCTCCTCCTCTTTTCCCTTACTTCCCAGTAAAAATAATCTTTTTTCCTCCTCCTTCAGTCTTTCTCTTTAACTCTTATTTAACCAAAGTTTTTCTTGTTTTCTTTTTTCTCTTTCCTTTTCTTTCCTTTTCTTTTTCTTCTTATTTTTCTTTTTGTTTCTTTTTTCTTTTTCTTTTTGATTTTCTTTTTTCCCTTTCCATAAAAATTTTCTTTTATTTCTTTTTGATTTTCTCCTGTTTTCCTTTCCTTTTCACATCCCCTCTTTTTGTTCCTCCTCCTCTTTCACATTCCCCTTCTTGTTCCTCTCCTTTTTAACATCTTCTCTTTGTTCATCTCCCTCTTTCACATCTCCCCCTCTCTTTGTTCTCTTTTTCACATCTCCCCTCTCTTTGTTCCTCTCCCTCTCTCTCTTTCACATCTCCCCTCTCTTTGTTCCTCTCCCTCTCTCTCTTTCACATCTCCCCTCTCTTTGTTCCTCTCCCTCTCTCTTTCACATCTCCCCTATCTTTGTTCCTCTCCTCCTCTCTCATTTACATCTCCCCTATCTTTGTTCCTCTCCTCCTCTCTCTTTCACATCATCCCTCTCCCTATTCCTCTCCTCCTCTCTCTTTCACATCTCCCCCTCTCTTTGTTCCTCTCCTCTCTCTCTTTCCCACATCTCCCCCTCTCCCCCTCTCCCTCTCTCTTGTCTCCCCTCTCTTTGTTCCTCTCCCCTCACATCTCCCCCCTCTTTGTTCCTCTCCCCTCCTCTCTCATTCACATCTCCCCTCTCTTTGTTCCTCTCCTCCTCTCTCATTCACATCTCCCCTCTCTTTGTTCCTCTCCCTCCCTCTCTTTCACATCTCCCCTCTTGTTCCTCCCCCTCTCTCTTTCACATCTCCCCTCTCTTTGTTCCTCTCCCCTCTCTCTTTTCATCTCCCCTCTCTCTCTCTTTGTTCCCCTCTCTTTGTTCCTCTCTCTCACATCTCCCCTTTCCTCTCCCTCTCTCTCTTCACATCTCCCCTCTTTTGTTCCTCTCCTCCTCTCTTTCTCTCCCCCTTGTTCATCTCCCCTCTCTTTCCCACATCTCCCCATCTTTGTTCCTCTCCTCCTCTCTCATTTACATCTCCCCATCTTTGTTCCTCTCCTCTCTCTTTCATCATCCCTCTCCCTATTCCTCTCCTCCTCTCTCTTTCACATCTCCCCCTCTCTTTGTTCCTCTCCCTCTCTCTCTTTCACATCTCCCCTCTCTTTGTTCCTCTCCCCCTCTCTCTTTCACATATCCCCTCTCCCTATTCCTCTCCCCCTCTCTGTCCTTCTCTCCACTCTCTTTGTCCATCTCTCTCTTCTTGCCTCTTTTCCCTTACATTCTGGTAAAAATAATCTTCTCAACTCTTTCTCTCCATCTCTTATTTAACCAAATTTTTTCTCTTCTTTTCCGTTTCTCTTCTTACTTTTTAATTTCTTTTTCTTTCTTCTATTATCTACTACTCTAGTGATTTTTTTTTAATCACTTCACCCCAAGCAAGGTGATAATGCCACTAAGATGCAAGCGGCTACTGGGAAAGAGAAAGAGAAAACTTTAGAAGGAACCATAAACTTAATCCTAAACAGGGAACAAGGAATAAATATCTACACCTTTTCAAAAGACAAGGGAGGTGCATGAACAGGGATAATCTATTTACTCTTATTTTTATCTTCTCTGCTAAAACATTTCCTTTTTTCTCTCTTTAAATAAAATAAAATTGTATTTTCATTCCCTATTTTTCTCTCCTCTTTAGTTTTATATTTTTCTTTTTTCTACCCTCATTTTTATTAACCCTTTCCAACCACTGGTTTTGGAACTATATATTCTTCTCCCTCCTATAAAAAATGCCAGGTTAGGACCAATAACATTGCAGATTCTTCTTTAAATTTTATCAAGAATCTCTAAATATATAGCTGAAGCACCAGATCTGGCAGCAATATTCAATGCATTGATGGATACTAGATTTATAAATGTTTAAGATTCTAGCAAGAAAAGTTGCCTAACATGACACAGTGAATCAACTTTCCTAGCAGCAGACCTAGTAAATGATTCAATATAACCTTTACAACTTCATGTCAGTGGAAAACTTTAACCTGAGAAAGTTTAGAGAAGGTAATGTATCATTCTCTTGGAGGTTAGCATCAGCCATGCTGATAGAATTCAAAAAGGTTGTCTAAAATGATTAAACAGGATCGGTTTTGTTTTGAAAACATTGAAATTAACAAGAGATTTCTTACTCCAGTTAACAACAGATTGTAGGTAATTTCTGAAAAGAAATGTTCAATTAATAAACCTCCATGTACAGGGTTTCTCAGTTCTTTGAGGGGACATCTTTTAATAGCACTCTTTTTTCTTTCTTGTTCTGATTATCATTTCTTTTCAGATAAATGATGACTAACATCAAATCTAATTCAACAAATGAAAAGTCATGTTGTAAAGACTGATATTGAGAGATAGCTCATTTCCTGGAAGTTGCCCAGCCGTTTGTTGCTAAAGTTCACAAACAGCTGTAAACTGATAATGGAGATTCTAAAGCAGTAGCCAAATGTAAAATGCTTGTTAAGAGTGGTAATACCATTGGAACACCAAGATTTGTTTTAAAGATGCAAAAAATTATCAATAAGAACATCAAAGTGTTAATTAATTCCATTACTAAGGAGCTCAAGGTTTCAAGGCATTTTATTTGAAGAATTGTATAGGAGAACCTTCAATACAAGTCATATGTAATATGAATCAGTCAGTTATGTGCCATGTGTGATATATGCGTAGGCAATCATGTATCTTTGGATCTTTTGAGGCAGATTTTCTCCTGCAATAGGTTGCCCATTCTTTCTGCGGTAAACTAGTTGCCATCCAAGGCTAAAGAACCCAGTCCGTTTTGTTATTTAGCCATAGCTGAGGGTAGAAGAAGAAGATTCATACATTTTCCAAGGGTTTTAGCATATAAGTGAATGTAATGGATTTGAGTGGAATTTGAACTCGGCTCTCTGATTTCTCAATCCAAGTTGCTATCCATTACTCCACAGTACCTCCCCATATGTAATATGGAAAGGCCATTTCATATCTGCAAAGACAAATGATATTTGTTTAATATGCATTAAGAACTTTTTGAGCAATTTGAAATATAAATAGCTTGCAATGCTTTTGGTTGTTGAGAAGAAAAACTTTGATCAGGAATAAAAGTTCAGCTGAAGAAAAGAGAGATGCTTTTGCAGAGACCCTAAGGAAATTTCAATGGTCATGCTTCCAGCAACTGTGTGATAGTTCTGGGAGTCATGAGCAGCAAGGGAGATGTCATTCCTCCTAATTTCTTTTCTCAGGGCTTAAACGTCAATGCTGCCTATGAGGAGGTTTTGGAAAGGGTTGTGATGTCTTGGGTAGAGAGTGTGAGCAAAGGGAGATTGTATATCAACAAGACTCTGCATAGTCTCTTCAGGCCAAGATATCCCAACATGGATGAGTTACAATCTCCATGATCTTGTCCCCACAAACATGGCCTCCTAGCTCATCAAACCTGAAACCATTGGACTACTCTATATGGGACATGGTTGAGAAGGAAGTCAATAATTGCTCTCATAAAACTATAACATCTCTGTAATAGAACATTGTCCAAAATAGAGAAAGATCATCTGATTCGGTTATGTTGAAGCAATCATCAATGTTAACAGTGGATTCATTAAGTAGATGTCTTAAGAAGAGTCTGAACATTATTCATGCCAATTTGTTTCTCAAGAAAGCTTTTATTTCATGACTTACGTGTCTTTTACTAAATCCATACAAATGTCCTCAAAGAACTGATCAACTCTGGAGGCATAAAACTCATAAATATATATTTTTTCTTTGTATATAAAATTAGGACATTATAATGAGGGAACTAGTGAATTTATATGTTAGAACAATTTTACATTGCATTCAAGTTAGGTTTTCATAATACACACACACACACACACACACATACACACACACACATACACACACAGACATATATATATAAATATATAGGAATCAGACACACACAGACATATATATATATATATATATATATAGGAATCTAAATGGAATAATAATAAAAAAATGAAAGAATATTAATCTACAAACCAGTGTGTCTAATGATTTTAATTTTTTAATTTTTTATTTCTTATTGTTCAAAATATATATATATATATATATATATATATATATATATATATATATATATATATATAAAAAGTGAACATTGAAGTCAACACTCAGTGCCGACAGGCTGTTTCATGTGCAATCATCAGGCCTGATGATTGCATCTAGCATGAAACAGCCTGCCACCTTGGAGTCTTGACTTCAATGTTCACTTATATTTACATATGCTCTATCTCTGATATTGAGCTCTTTATCCCATAGACATACCACACCTTAAAACTATATTTTCTTCACATATATATATATATATATATATATATATATATATATATATATATATATTATGAAATAGACAAAGCCCGACAATTATTTTTAAAACATTTTATGTTTTATACATTCTTTTATAGATAAATTTTTAAGTAATGTTTGTTTTATAATGAATAGTATTAAACAACATTTACCAACCTGAATGTCCGAGAAATCATCATATAAGCACAAAAATTTTCTATAAAAATTTCTCTGACAATCAGGCTGGTAAATGTTTAATACTGTTTATTATAAAACGGAGCATTTACTTAAATATTTGTATCTATAAAAAGAATGTAAACATAAAATGTCTTATATAATATATATATATATATATATATATATATATATATATATATATATATATATACACACATATATATAAATATATATGGGACATGTGGGTAAATGGTTCAAAAATTGCAGTTCGATTTCTTTGGAAGGTAACTTCTTGATATTATCAATCTGGAGAGGTGATCCCAGCCTATGGCATCATTGGAAAACATTTGAAAACCATGCCACAGGTTAACCCAAGCCTTGTGATTGAAACTGGGAAGCTGGAAATATTCAGAAGCCATTGACAGTTGCACTATCAAAAGTTGTTTGCTCAGTTATTTTCGTTTAGCAGTATATCAACCAAAATACAGTCAAGATATTGTGTCCATAGTTGATATTATTAAGTGTTGGTTTTTTGTTTTTATTAATAAAGCTTCCATTATTTTTAGCCTTTTTCACATTTAAATGAGATCTAATTGAGATATGGTTAGAAAGATGTAATGTAAGTCTGTCTATTGACACTTTATACGTGTTTTGAAAAATGAAAACATTATATAGATACATACATGCAACAAACTATTTCTTATTTAACAGTTAAAATATTTAATCC